ATTTTATTGAGTGCTAATTACATGTTGGGCATTTTACATGGTTGATCTCATTTGATGAGTACATCTACTCTGTGAGTGTTGGCCACAGGTCCTCATCAGGCACTGGAAGCCCAGAGGGATGAAGGGAATTGGCAAAGTAGCAATGATCAGATCTGGAATGGAATGCTGGGTCTACCCAGACCCGATCCACAACCTTTTCACTTCTTTTTAGTCTTTCATTCACATGGGGATAGAAGCGAGACCCATGTCCTAGGAGGAAGCAGCACAGAGTTAGAACCTGGTCCTGTGGAGCCAGCTGCCTGGGTTCAAATCCAGGCTCCACTGTTCCCTGGACGTGAGATCCAGGCACGTGGGCTCATCTCTTCATAACAGTTGGAGTTTCTTCTCCCATGAAATTGAGATCCCGCTGGCACCTGCCTCGCAGGGTCGTGCGTGAACCCTTCTGTGCAGAGTGAAGGTGGTGCCGTGGGTTACTGGGCTGCTAACAGCTGCTCCTTGGGAGAAAGGTGAGCCGCTCTGCTCCCGTAAACATTTACAGTCTCGGATATCCTGGGGTGCTGCTCCGAGCTAGTCATGTTTCTCACACAAATTGGTCTCCTTGTTGTTTCTCATTGGGGTCTTCCTCCTGGAAGGCCTGTGAGTCGTTTCTCCTAGGAGATACCTATGTGTTCAAAAGGGCTGTGAGAGTGTCTTGTGCACCTGTGTGTGTGTGTGTGTGTGTGTACCTATGTGTGTCCGAGTGTACCTGTGTGTGTCGGTGTGTACTTGTGTGTGTGTCTGTGTGTACTTGTGTCTGTGTGTATCTGTGTGTGTCCGAGTGTACCTGTGTGTGTCCGTGTGCACTTGTATGTGTCCGTGTGCACCTGTGTGTGTCTGAGTCTACCCGTGTGTTTCTGTGTGTGCCTGAATGTAGCTGCGTGTACTTGTGTGTGTCCGTGTGTACCCGTATATGTGTCTGAGTATGTGTGTGTACCTGTGTGTGTCTCTTTGTACATATTTGTGTGTCTTTGTGTGTATGTGTGTCTCTGTGTGTATTTGACTGTACCTGTGTCTGTCTATGTGTACCTGTGTCTGTCTATGTGTACCTGTGTTTATGTGTATTTGAGTGTGTCTGTATGTATCTGAGTGTGTTTCTGTGGGTGCATGAATGGGGAGGGGAGTGTCTTCCCTCCTGTGTGTCCACTGTGGTTAACTAAGGTCAAGGCATCTTACAATGACCAGAGGCTCTAGGGAGAAAAAACATTGGTCAGCATCTGTGGTTTGGGCCTGTGTTATTTTTAAAGTTAGAAAAAAAAAAAAAGAAAAAGAAAACACCAAGTGGAAACTGAATGTGGTTGAAAGGCTGGATCTGACTTAGATAAACCAGGGCCCAGGGAGTCTTAAAGCTTCTGGTAGTGCTGTGGACTGGGTGGCCCTGCTGTCTAAATGTATGCTCTCTCCTGGGGCCCCATAGACCCCACTGTGCTGACTGGCAACCACCCTAATGCCCACACCGTCCCCTGGGCCAGCATCCTGCCATCTTGAAGGTCTCCCTGGAACACAGTGCATTGGTCTTATCCGTAGAAGCTCCCAGATCTCCAGCCATTCCCGCTTTGAGCTTTGAACCCAGCCTTCCCTCCTAGAGGCCTGGGCTTTCACGACTCTGCCACATTGCTCCAGCCAGATGTCTTAAAGACAGGGCTGAGCTGATTTTGGTTTGCTTCTCCAAGAATTAGGTTTTCTTCAGAAAATGGATGAAAACAACCTGTTTTAAGAGAGAGGAAAGTTCTTTAAACCAGCTCGTGAGATCAGCGGCACCCACGCCTTTAACCACTTCCTCCCCATAGCAGGGACCCTGGCTTTGCACAGCTGAAGAGGATGTTGTAACTATCAGAAATTCAGATCTCCTCAGGCTGGGCTCTGCACCATCATCTGTGCCACCTCTCAGGGCTCTTCAGAATGGAGCTTTGACCTTGAACATCTTGAGGGTGTGTGCATGTGTTTTCTGTGAAGAAAAAGCAAATCCAGTCGTGTGTCAGTAGAGCTGGCGTCATCATCATTGGACCAATTGGCCCTTGTTGGTTGCAGCACTTCAGGTCCTGGGCAGGGTCACACTTTCCTCATTGCTTAACCAACCCAACTTTGCTCCATCTGGGTGGTCTCCGGTGGCAGATTTCTTTCAGAAGTAGATCACCAGGGGCCTCTGGGTGGACTCAAACCTCCAATCTTTCGGTTAGCAGCCTCTCTCTTGTGAACCGTTTGGCCACCCTGGGAGTCCATGGGGAGGAAAGGGTGTAATTGTTTGGGGTCATCCCTCCGGTCTGGGGACAGGGAGTTTCCAGTCTGCATTACCTCTGGCTGCATTTAGCTTTAAAAATTCTGAGTCTGGACTCTTGTGTGGCCAGGACCCTCCCTCGACCCACCTAGTATTTGCCTAGGTCTCAGTCCTCCTGTAGGCCACCTCTTCTCTCTTCAGTGCCCATGCAGCCCCCATAACCCCTTCAGCCTTGACACTGAAGCACAGACCTGCAAGGCTGCAATGTGCCCCGAATTCTAGGAAACCCCTATAGTGCCCCTCAAGTCTTCCAGATGGGCCGTCAGGGGGCTGGGAACCCTTCCTCCTTGGTCACCCTGGCTGATGAACATGGGCAACGCCTTTGAGTTTCAGAATGCTTGCCTCTCAATGCTCCCATTCAGACGACCTGGCGCTCCTGTGCCCATTTTGCATATGAGGAAGCTGAGACTGAGTTTCTGGTCATTTGAGCTTCTAGTAATTGTAACTCAGATTACAGCCTAGAATTGAAATAGGTACCATGGAATGAGCCGGATTGATACTCTGTGTACATTGGAGTAACAGGGTGTACTTCTGCTCAAGGATACATCATCTCTTTGTGCTGTGCTTGATAAATGCATATGCACATGTGTGCACACATATGTACATCCATATGTACGTGTGTGCATATGCACACACACACATACACATGCATATGCACGTGCACACACACAAATGTATACATGTGTATGTTGCGCAATGGACTCATATGATCACATGTACACACATATATGCGTGTGTACATGTGCACACACGCATGCATGCATGTGTGCATGCACAGGGACATGCATATTCACGCACAACACATGTACACACATGCACATAGGCAAGCACACATGCACAAATGCGTAAGAGCACAGATACATGCACATGCATATAAACATGCACACCATCACACATGTATATGAACGCAGTGCACTCACACTCACATATACAGCACACATACACAAAACCATGTGCACACATATGTAGGTATACATGTGAGTGCACACATGCAACCTTTTCGTGCACTCATGGAAACATACATACTGTGTGTTCATGCATATACACATATATGGCATCATGTGGTGGTTGAGAGCATAGCTCAGGAGGGTGTGATTCCTGGCTCTGCCACTCAGCAGCTGTGTGAACTTGGGTTAGATACTGAACCTCTCTGTGCCTCCACTCTTCCTCATAGAGATAAGGGAGTAATTAGCTTCTATCTCTGGGCTTATGGGTAATACTTACTGAGTTAATATATGTATTTAGGACTCTGCCTGAAACTTGGCACCACCAAAACCCAAACCTACTGCTACTGTGTCGATTCTAACTCATAGCTGCCTATAGAGGGTTCCCGAGACTGTGATCTTTACAGCATCATCCTTTTCCTGCAGAGCAGTTGGTGGGCTTGAGCTGCCGACCTTATGGTTAGCAGTTTAGTGCTTATCCTACAGCGTCACCAGGACTCCTTTGAGACTTGTTAAATGCTCAATAAACGCTAGTTCTTATTGTTCGTTGTTGTTTATGCTTCTCAATCCTGGTACTTACTAGATATCTGATAAATGAGAATTCTCTCTTTTCACTTGAACCTTAGTTTGCTGGTCTGTAAAATGGGCATGTTTGTATCGACATCATGATAACTCAACCTACATAGTAAAGGGACAGAGGTCCTGATACAGTGAGTGCCAGGTAGGTCATAACTGGTCAGTGAGCGGTGCTCAGCAGTCCAGCTGCCCACGCCACACATAAGGTCCAGAGAAGTGATGTATTCAAGATCATACAGAATAGAACCTTCCTCTCTACACTCTGCTGTCTGACATCACCTCTTACAAGATTTTTTTACCTTGGCCAAGTTACTTAATTTTCATGGTCCTTTATTTCCACATCTGCAAAATGGGGCAGATTGTATCAGTTTAAACTGCCAGGCTGGTGAGTTCCTGGATGCCTCTCTCCTCAGGAGTTGCTGGCGTTGGTATGGTGGTAGCAGCACTAATGAGGGAAGGTGAGGAGGTATGACCGCTGCCACACTGCACTGGCCCCAATTCGTCAGTGGGCAGCCAGCAGGGTCTGAGCTGGAGGTGGGGAGCACGTAGGAAGTATGTGCTGGCCAGCCCTACTCAGCTATCGGTTCCACCCTGGGCAGATGACCCAGTTCACCCAGGAATCCAGGCCCTGGGAGTTCCCACCTTTGGAAAGAAATGCCCCAACACCTCATTATTGAACAGAGACTCCTACATTTACTTGGCTGGAACAATTGACTCATATTTTATCCTCTTCCATGGGGGCATCTATTTTAAAGTCCAACACTACCTTAATTGAATGAGGAAAGTTTGCTACTTAATGGAGCTCCAGGAAGTAGTAGGAGATGGGCTGTGGTTCCCCCCTCCCTACCAGAGTTATTGTCCCAATTCTGATCTTTATCCTCTGTCCAGACTCCATTAGCACCTCCCCTTTGCCTTAATATACAACTTCAGCATCAAAGCTAAGACACTGGGGATCTCTTAGCACCCTCATTTACAGATGAGGAAACTGAGGCGACCTAAAGAGGTCCTTTAGATCATACCACACGCAGATGTGATATTGGCCAGTCCTGACCTCCTGGGAAGGGTCCATGGGGTCACCAAGTGTGTGTGAAGGATGCTTGCCCTGGGTGGAAGAGGAGGAAATACATGGGGAAGGCCCTGGTCCCTGAGTCTGCTTTCTCTTTCAGGGAGGCTCTGCGCTTTCCCCCGCCGCCACCATAAGCCAGGAGAGGGCTCAGCAACAGGCAGCCGCTTTGGCAAAGGAAGTTGACTGCCCCACCTCGCCCAGCCAAGACCTGGTATCCTGCCTCCGCCAGAAGCCCGCCAGCATCCTCAATGATGCCCAGACCAAGGTGGGTAGGGCCCTTTTCTGGTCTTTTACCAGTAATAGTGAGCATGACCCAGCCAAGGACACACAGCAGGCTGATGACAAATGGAACCAGAACGCAGATTCCACACAGTGCAATAGAGCAGCACAGGGGCTGATGTTAGATAGACCTCGCTGAGCCTTGATTTCTGCTTTGTAAATGATGCAGACCTTACAGAGTTGGAGGCTAGCACATGTAAAGCCTTTTCCCATGGCTGGACCATGATAGGTCCCCGCCATGTTGCAGCTACAGCATCCTGAGCACTGTAGCCCTGGAGACGCTGACAGCTGGTAAAGTCTGGCTGCTCAGCCCTCTTGGATGTGATGCTGTGTGCACCCTTCTCCACCTTACTGAGAACTGGCTCACAACCCATGCTCTCAGGCTGGTCCTCAACAGGATTGGTGGGACCACTTGCAGCCCTGGCCCTGTCCCCTGGCTGCCTAGAGTTCCAGTCCTTCTGCTTTGATCTCCCAGAAAGACATAACTGTTTAGCACTGGTGTTCATATCACTAAGACCAGGTTAAGCTAACAATATAACTGGTTACTCCAGTTCATAAAAAGGACAACATCCAGACAAAGCATGCCCTCTCTCTCCACCCTCTCTAGCTCCTGGCTGTGAGTGGTCCTTTTCACTACTGGGGTCCCGTGGTCGATGGCCACTACCTACATGAAACACCCACCAGGACCCTGCAGAGGGCCCCTCGGGCGAAGATTGATCTGCTCATCGGGAGCTCTCAGGATGACGGACTCATCAGCAGAGCCAAGGCCATCAAGGTGAGCAGTGGGGAGGTCAAGAAGGGTCTTAGTGGAGCATGCCCAGTGACCACTGGACCTCAGTGTCTCTAAATCTCCATCTAGTCATTGACTTCCTTGAACTTGTATTCACAGGGGTGCATCGAATTTGGGGCGATGGTGGGAGGATTCAGATTCAGGGATTTGAGGTTCACACCGCCGGTCACGTGTGTGGCTAAATTGCAGTGGGAAACTGAGTCCAGGGGTCTTTGTGGTGTCAGGGCTCCATGTGAGCCATGACCCGTCTGCTCCGGGAGTCCAACAAAGTGACATTTTGATCTGCCTGAACACACATTTCCTACCTGAGCCTAAGCCACAACTGCAGCCATTAGCCTTGGACTAGGCCCCATCCCTCCCTTGACAAGCTGTTCTTGATGAAAATCCTTCCATAGTGAAGTCTGGGATGGGGGCCCCAGCCTTAAGGCACTGTGAGAAGCCCACTCTAGGGTCTGCTCACAGGGTACTCTCCCTAGCACACACTCATGCGTTTCTGTCTGATGCTATTGGATGGGTTATGGGGTGATACAACTGGACTCAAAGGTAAAAAAAGAGTCGTTAGCTTAATCAAACTAGATCCACATTCCCTGAGGTTATGTGATTTCCTCTCAATAATAGACCTCTCTTTGGGAAGAGACCCTACATCACCTAGACACCAACTTTACATGCTATATGGCGTAGTGGGTGCACCTTGGGCTGCTAACTGCATAATGAGTAGTTTAAATCTGCTAGACGCTCCAAAAGAGAAAAATGAAGCTTTCTGCTCCTGTAAAGATTTACAGTCTCAGAAATGCTATGCAGAGTCACTATGAGTCTGAGCCAGCTCGGCAGCACACAACAGTAAGATATACAAGAATATTTATCACAGCATTAACTATTGTATCAAAAACTGGAAGCAACTCGTGCGCCTTAGCATGGAAACGGTTGAGTAAATTAAGATACACTCAAGCTATTAAATATTCCCAAAGACAACCAGAGTGCCCTCAAATCAATCCTACTCATAGGGACCCTCTATAGGGTTTCTGAGTCAGTACATCTTCATGGGAGCGGCAGCCTCATTCTTCTCCCATGGAGAAGCTGGTAGATTTGAACTACTAGTCTTATGGTTAGCCGTCCAATGCTTATCCCACAGTGACACTAGGGCTGGCGCTGGTATATTTGGAGCTGCAAAACTAGAATCTTCGTTCTGGGTAACTCAGTTCCTTGGGTCCCATAGGCTGGTAGTAGAGGGATCTGGCCTGGCCACTCCAATTGGAACGACAACAGTAGCTCACCTTTGTTGACCTCTCACCCTGCAGCCTGGCCATCCCATTTCCCCCAACATACTCACCTACCTGCACTTTGCTATACTGTACTTCTCAGTCAAATAAGATAGTGAGACTCGGATCAATAGAAGGTTGGTAGCAGCCTCAAGTTCCTTTATCTACGGGCACCATTTTTCCAGCAGCATGTGCTTGTCTCATGGCTGTGCTACATTATGGTCATTCTCCCAATATGTCAAAGTTTTCCATCATGCTTTTGTTGTTGTTAAGTACAGTTCCAACTCATAGCAACCCTGTAGACGGTTTCCGAGGAGCGGCTGGTGTGTTTGAACTGCGGACCTTGTGGTTAGCAGTCCGGTACTGACCCTAAGGCACCACACCAAGAGTTCTGCTATTAGCACATACTTACTACAATAGAGTGTCAACATGACTTTCATATGCTCTTGTTTTTAAGTGCCATCAAGTCGGTTCCAACCCATAGTGACCCTGTATAGGGTTTCTGAGGAGCGACTGGTAAGCTTGAACCACCGACCTTGCAGTTCAAACAGCTTTGCAGTCTGGTGCATTAACCCACAGCGCCACACCAGGACTTCTCATATGCTCTAGGAAACCCCAGATTTCATGCAGTGTTGGTTTTGTTGCAGCAATCTGGAATCGAACTGCAGTATCTCCAAGGTTGGCTGATATTGGTTTATCTGCTGTCTTCCTTCCCCGTCAAGAATGCAAATCTATGGGCACTGAGACTTTCTTCTTCTTTCTAATACATCTCTGGAGCATAGAAAAGTGTCTAGTATACAGTCAAACAAACAACAAAAAAACTAAAAACAAACCCGTCACTGTCAAGTCGATTCCAACTCAAAGCAAGCCTGTAGGACCAAGTAGAATTTTCCCGGAGGGTCTCCAAGGCTATAAATCTGTACGGAAGCAGATCTTTGCATCCTTCTCCCACGGAATGACTGGTGGGCTTGAACTGTCAAATTTTCCATTAGTTTAACCCACCGCACCAGCAGGGCCCCTCAGTATGCACTAGGTGCCCAATAAATATTAATTGGATTGAAAGGATGAAACCCTCGAGAACACACTACGTGCTAGGCACCACTTTAGGGATCTTCAGTGAAGTGCTTCCTCCTCGCAGCAGCCCTCTGTGGCAGGGATAATCATCACTGGTTTTCAGATGGAGAAACAAATTCAAAATGAAGCCAAAATTCAGGTCTATCTGACCCCAAGGAATCCTCTTATTATTACATAGGGAAGCCCAGACCTTCCTTACAAGAGCTTGATGTCCACCACAGACAATAGGCTGAGTACTTGAATGTATGCAACTCCAGTGTGGAGGTGTGGGTTAATGCACTGGACTGTAAAGTAGGTTTGAAACAAGGTCAGTGGTTCAAGCTCACCAGTTGCTCCTATACAAGGTCACTATGGGTCAGAACCAACTTGATGGCACTTAACAACAATAACAAGATGTAGTTGGGCTCCTGGTGTGGCGCTGTAGAATTAGCACTGGATTGTGATCCACAAGGTTATCAGTTCAAAACCCACCAGCTACTCTTTAGAAACCCTATACAGGGTTGCTATGAGTCAGAACTGACTTAGCGACACTTAACAACATCACTTAGCTATTGGCTTATTGTATGGTGGTGGCTTGCATGCTGCTGAAATTTATGAGTCCTGGTGTGGTGCTATGGGTTAATGCGCTGGACTACAAGGTTGGTTTGAATTGCAAGTGCCACAGTTCAATCTCACCAGCTGCTCCTCAGAAACCTTCTATAGGGTCGCCATGGGTCAGAACCAATTTGATGGCACTTAATGGTAACAACAGTAATAGCTCCAATATCAGCAGGGTTACCCAAAGGACCCCGGAAAGGTTTCATCAGAACTTCTGGACTAAGACCAGGACCAAAGACCTGACTCTATTCCTGAAAATTAGACACTGAAAGCCTTCTAGATCACAGCACAACGGTGTCTGCTACAACACTGGAACTGGAGTCCCTTGGGCTGTAAAGTCTTCATCATTCAATACACTAGCCAAACACTGAACTCAAAGTTAACCAATGACCATGAAGATGGCACGGGATTGGGCAGCGTCCAAACATAAGGTCACCATGAGTTGGAGTCTACTCCATGGCAACCGTCCATAACACTTGGGTACAGAGAGCTGTGCAGCAACATGTGGCTTCTCACTATCCCAGCCCTAACGTTGTGAGGCAGGTCCACCAGCTCACTGACAGACTCAGAGAGGTTGAATGATAGCCTCAAGCTCTCATACTAGACATTTGCAAAAAGCAAGTCTCCACTGCAGATCCTCTGGCTCCAACTGTGGGGTGTTACCCATGCTCATATCTGTATTAAACTCCAGAATAAGAATGATCCAGCTAAGGGAGCCTCAGAATCTTTCCCAGCTCAGGATCAACGGATGGATGGAACACACCCATGGACCGTGCAGCCAGCTGAGCTGCCTGCAGTGTTGACGCGTACCCCCTTATTTCAAAACAGATTCATTTGTGTCCCCAGAGGTTGTCTTCCCTGGGCTCAGCCTGCTCATGACCTGTACCTAAAGTTGGTTTGGGGGCAGTTCCCCATTTCCCCCAAGAGGTTGCATAGCACCTGGTCCAACTACCTTTGATGGTGGAGATCTCAGGATGGCTGTACTTTCAAATAAGCACATTCTCAGGGACCTCAGTCCCCACATCCCCCTGGCCCCCTGGGCCCACCAGGACCCTCCTGGAATGGCTATGTCCTGGGTCTCAGAGACCTAGCGTTTACTAGGCCACCTTGTGCCAACATGCTTGGTGCTTGAGGCATGTCTGCAAACTAAACCCTTGCCCTCAGAAAGCTCACGTTCAGGGAAAGAGACAAAGATGCAACAAGAGTAGACCACTAAGATGCTGCTTGATACACGCTTTGTAGAAAGATGGACATCCAAGAGCCTGTGAGGAAGGACGCATGGCCACCAGGGTGCCCAGTGACAATGGAACTGCCAGGACCCCGTCCCCTTGTCTGTCTGTTGACCCAGTGTGCCCTGAATCATAGTTACAACCATTCGTGTTCTCCAGAGCCTGGGCCTCAGTTTTCCTATCTGTGAAATTGGGAGATTGTTAATTCATATCTGCACCAATTTTCCATCCTTCTTTCATGTCAGTATGCCTATTCACATCCAAAGCTGTTGTCCCCAGTCCAGCGTGTCTGTCCTCGGAAGAAAACAAGACTACAAAGAGAATACAGTCCCTGAGTCACCTCGCGTGAGCAAAACCAGTTCCAAACCCCAGCAGACACACACACACAGCCAGCCAGCCCTGCCTGCTCAAATACCAGTCGGAGCCCAGCCCCAAACCCATGTGACCCAGCTTCCCACCAGAAGTCACAGGACAGGTGGGAGGGTCTCACGGCTCCCAGTTCAGCCCCCACCCCCTAACCCATCATCCAGACGGAAACCCACTAGACGCTCTCAGTTCCAAGAGGATGGGTAGGGAGCAAGTTCCAAGTCTGTGTGAGGACCCCCACCTGCCACCCAGACCAGCGACAGCCCATCCAAACGACCCTGTGTCCCCGTGTCCGACAAAGTTAACGACATACCCACGGAACATGAGGCTGGCTCGCAGAGAACGCTGCTCCTTCTCAAAGTGCAAGCTTTAGATTGAAATCCTTCATCAGCCGCTTTGGTGGGGATTTTTTCCCTTTTTCTCTTCCTTCCCGGTGGAATTGACAGTCTGCCTACATTAA